TGAGTCACACCTACAGTCTGTCTGTGAGAGGGGTTCTGAAGAGACTTAAATGAGGGGGAAATAATTTTAATATATATTTTTTGAAAATCATATAGCACCATCCCATGGCTAAGGAATTAGGGGAATTAAAGGGATGCCTAGTATCAGCATTCCCCATTACCGCTTCCTAGATGCCATGATGTGAACTGAGCTGCCCTGCCATAGCTTTCCCACCAGGATAGAATAAATCCCGAGCCGAAAACCAAAACAAAACAGAAAAAAAAAAAACTTCCCTGACTTAAGCTATTTTTATCAGATATTTGGTCATAGTGATGTAAAAGGAACTAGCATGCTCACATTCCAAAGAACCTGCACAATTCTTTGCATACTTCATCTCTTAACTCAAAGTCGTCATGCACTATGAGGTATGTGTGGTGTGTAGTGCTATTGAGTCCTTGTTTCTTTGTGACCTTCATTCATTATTTTCTACTTAGTGCTCACATTGGTAAATGTTTTTCTCCAGATGTCTTTAATTACTATTGTCACTGTAAACAACATTGTTTTCTGTTGCTTTGTTTTAAAGTGACCAATGGGACTAAGGTTATGTTCTATTCTTATATCTGGACAACTCTTTGTACTCTTAAAATTTATGAGGATTTCAGTTGATTCTTTTAGGTTTTTGATGTGGAATATTGTTTTTATTTTTTCTGTTTTACTTTTTTACCTACCTAGGAATTTGCTGTTCTATTATTTTATACCTGCTTTAGGTAGTTGACCTAAAGACTTTCTGATACCAAGTCTATTTTGCTCACATGACATTTTGCCAAATTACAAATTGTAGAAATGGTATTAAATAAAAAGAATACAAATTATAATTGAGTTAATATAAACATGGATTCAGAAAAAAAAATAAAACTATGATAGCATATCTCTTTTCTTAAAGAATCTGTATGAAGAAATAGTATGTATAGTCCCTGTGGCTATTGTAAGAAATTACCATGAATCAGCTGGGCTTTATGGTCCATCTTTAATCCCAGCATTCAAGATACAGTGGGAAGAAGGTCTCTGTGACCCTCAGTTTTAAATTTTATCAAGTACAGAAAGTCATCCATTTTTCAAATTACTAGCCTAAAGTATATTTAAATTTAGGGTAATTTTATTTTAACAACAGCAACAGCACGAATAAGCCCATATAGGAAAGAAAGGACAGTTTTAAAAGAACATCAGTGAAATAGTAGTTGAGATAGAGATGCCAGATGATTCTTCTACATATTAAAATCTAAATATATTGCTATATATGTAACTACATCTATGTAAAAATCTCTGAAAATTAGTGTTTAAATAACATCATGAAACAAATTTATTCTCCTAAGTAGAGATAGTATATTTAACATTGCTTCTTACATTTTAAAAATAAAATTTATTATGTTTAGGAAATAATAATAAAAACTTGAAAGCTGGAAAATCCATATTTGAAAATTATGCAATATAGTATAATAGTTTCTAAATCCATCCATTTACCTGCAAATTTCATTATTTCATCTTTCTTTACTGCTGAATAGAATGCCATTGTGTAAATAAACCACATTTTTATTAACCACTCATCAGTTGAGGGACACTTAGGTTGCTTCCTTCTCTTAGCTATTGTTATAAGCATAGTTAATGTTTTAACCTTGCGTGCCTTCATTACAGAGCACAGTTCTAATTGTTATATATAAAATTATCTCACTTAATAACCATCACAGTACTTTAAAATAGGGTTAAGTGTTTACTTTTAAAAATAAGGGAGCTCTTATGAAATTAT